ACCCGCATAAACATTTCATTACACCAAATACACAAAATAATGTTCTTTTTAGCAGCATCATATGACCCCTTTAAGTGGTGTGAGACTGCCCCATGCAAAAGAAAAGGATGGAATAATTACATTATTACAGCCCTGTACATTAATACTGCGTATTCACAATAATACTACATAATAAATTATTTAAATCATATGCACTTTTCACAAAAATTCTATTTTGCATGTGCAGATTTTGAAAACACTCAAGTCTACATCATTAGCATTCTTAAAATCTAAAACAAACCTCATTCTCCTGACCTCTAGTGGTCAAAGCCTAGTGCAGAGTATCTTCTTCAGTGTTCTGTGTTGGTTTGCATTCATTATAACACCTTTCCAGGATTCATGAGGTTTTTGGGGTCCAGAGTGGCCTTGAGGCCCAGCATGACCTCTATGGCCAATGGACCGACCTCTTCTCTGAGCAGAGCCCGCTCTCCTAGACCAATCCCGTGTTCACCAGTACAAGTTCCGTCCATCACCAGTGCCCTCCTGCATAGGGAAAGACAACAAGAAAATAAATTCATCCACTGTAATTGTTACTCGCAATAAGTAGGGTGAACACATCTGGCCATCTTGATCAGTTAAGATGCTTGGAATCACCAGATCTGACATTGTTCTCCCAAAAGACCTCAGTGTGGCTGGCAGACTGGAAGAACATGTTTAGCAGTCTGCAACCACCGAAAGACCAAAGTTTCCTCAGGAAGTAGAATCTCTGCAACTGAGCTGTCTGTCCAGTCCAATTCATATTCCCAGGTGTTTCCACCTCCACATTCTCCAATTAAATGATGAAGACTGGCCTCGGGGGCTCCCTGGCGCAGCAGAAATCCAACACCTACTCATCTTGTTCATGCAGGTTCTTACTGTTCAACATGACAAGGTACACCTTGTATTATATACTCTAACCACAATTTGTAATGCAATAGGACAAGTCTGAATGATTTTGTGAAGTAAGTGAAATTATGGATCAAATGCTACCGATACACTGCGATTTTTGCCCAGATTTGCAGTGTGGAGGAACTGCTGCTAGTTGGCAAATGTCAAAGCCAGTCTGCAGACGCTGGGCAGTTGGAGTTAACAGATTTGAGAGGAAACTACATAGTTTCTGATCAGTGATGGGGAAAGTTACTTTTTAAAGTAATGCATTATAATACTGTGTTACTCCATAAAAAGTAACCATGTTACTTAGTTACTTTTAATTGGAAATTAATGTATTATGTTACTTTTTGTCACCTGGGTTGGGCTTGCTTATTTGTTTTTTAATAACAAAAAACCCAAAAGTTATATTTTTGGCAACTGCAAGGACCCTTTCACACCAAAAGTGAAATTAATAAGCCTCAGGCTGAAGGAAGTGTCTCAGCCTTGGAACTCACTCCCAATTTCTCCCAACACAGGGACAGGAGAGGTGTTAGTGAATAAATGAGACAACGTAACTTGCGTAGAAAAAGTAACTCCTATTTAGTTGTAAATTTGAAAGTAATGTGTTACTTTACTAGTTACTTGGAAAAAGTAATCTGATTACATAACTCATGTTTCTTGTAATGCATTACCCCAGCAATGTTAATGATGGGCACAGATTTAGATTTTTTAGCTTGAAACATGATTAATATTTTGATACAATTTTAGAAGACATTGTTTTTATTTGTTGTATGTCTCTTAGCAATGAGGAGTACGTTTCTGCCTGAGTTTCTTGTATTCGGAACAATTTGAAAGTCCTCAGTCGTTTAGTATACAATCCCCAGTTTCCAGCTTTTAATTGAACCCAGCACATTCCTTTAAAAGACAGAAGGTTATTGAAGTTGAATTGACTGAACAGATTCATCTAACTAAACCTGGCCAAGTTCCTCTGCACTTCCAGGTAACAAGCCTGAAATCCATTTCAATTTCTTCACATTGTTCTGCTTAAGTTTCCACACAAATTCAACTCAATAAAATTTCTTCTGCTCTTAGAGTTGCAACTTCAGCGTGCAAACACTCCTTTGGCAGTTAATATGGCTATGGTTTTTGCAAACTTGTGCTTTTACAGTAAAGCCATGTCTGTCGTTCTCAAAAAGGGCAAGTCTAACTCCATTTGCTCCTATCAGGAAAAACTTTTGAGTATCAAGTCAGCCAGGTTCCACTGAAGCAAATGAGATCTCAGTTTTTGTCTTCTCTTTGGCTGCTGGTCGGTGCCGATCACTCGTCCATTGTATCCGACAGAGACTGCACTTTAACCGTAATGACTTAAGGCAGGTAGGACCTTTATTATTTGTGCTTGTTTCCAAAGCCAGACACTAGACCCTCTATGTCTGTCATTGTCAATAAACGCTCTTCAAATGGCAGAAGACACGGAGAAATAATCCTGATATTGATTGCTACACAAAACAAAACTGACAATGTACACAAAAGCTGCAGCCAAGACCCTCTCAGCTACCTCAGAGGATCATTGTAAGGGAGCAAAACTGCTGAAAGGAATTAAATAGAAATACCTGGCTAGTCTCTCAGTGAAGGAGTGAACCCTTTGCACCTCATCTGGGTCATTAGGATCCAGTACTATTAAACAATGGAAGTTTCCATCACCCACATGACCTGCAATAGGACCTACAGTAGGAAAAATATAAATATATTATATCAGCAGTTAAAAACAGTTCTCAACACTAAATGAGAAAATCAAACTTGGTAAACTACCAGTAATATTGTTTCTGATTAGATCTTCCTTTGTCTCCACTATAATCTGAGGCAGTCGTGAGATTGGCACACAGACATCCGTAGAATATGCCTGTAAGAAAATGAGTACATTTTTGTAAAGTGTTGAGTTCTGAATATGTAATCCTTTTCTAACTTGATATTCATAAAAAGCCATTTGTAGGCTGTTTTCTCTAAATAGATATTAACTGTGGCTGTGTGGTGCTTTCATAACATTGCTCTGTTTGCTTGAGCATTCTGACCAGCATAGCAACTGGTTCAGCCAATGGTGTGAGTTTAGGGCGGGGCTATTGGCTATTGCTGACCTATGGCAGAATGCTTGGGAAACCTGTTGGAATCAGTCATGATTTTTAAGCAAATATATATGTACTGTTATGACTGGAATAAGAAATAAAAAATATTATTTATATTATAATTTTTATATTGTTTTAGTAAATTCTAATATAGTTATTATTATATTATTTTAGTAAGTTTTTATTCATTAGATCTTCTTTTGTCTTCACTGTAACATGAGGTAGTTGAGAGAGCACTCATAAATATGTAGAATATGCCTGGAAAATGTGTGTAATTTTTTTAATGTTAAAAATACATTGTCCTAATACAACTTTAAATTCATTCATAACTATAATTAAGCCATTTGTTTTTTCATTTCCTTAAAAAAAATGTGTCTCTGTGGTGCTATCAAAACTGCTGTTTGTTTGAGCATTCCGACCAGCCCAGCATAGCAACAGTGGCTCAACCAATGACGTGAGGGGCTATCTGTTTGGTTGACCAATGGCAGTGTTTGGGAAACCTCTTTGATAACAGTCATTCTTTTTACAGTACACTATGCACTATTGCAAACTAAATAAGAACAAAAGCATGATAATTATACAATAATAAAAAGTCCATTAGTCAGTATAAAATGTATATTCTAAGTTACAAGAAGATAAATAGCACTTGTCTGAGTCAGAATCATCTTGCAGTGAATGTTCCCACCTTACATTCAGGCCTCAGGGCCAGAGCA